AGCAAGCTTGGGCCAAGATATCAACATCCGACAAACAATACTCGAGGATTTCCTTTTTAAAGTCAAATGTAACATGGTTTGCAACCTGATCATTATACCAATTTTCAAAATCTTCATGTGATTTTTCAAACATAGATTCTGGACAGTAAAATTCCTTTGCCGGCATAGGGCCAACATAATTCTGATTCTCAAGTGTGTTGAAGAGGTGGGGGAAATAGCCTTTCTTCTTTTCCAGGGGCAAATCAAAGGCCTTGGGCAGTGAAGCTAGAGGCATAGGGAAATAACTTAATGAATCAACAAACCTCACATTGTCAATCTCCATCAAAATGACCTTAGTTCCCCGCATTACAAGTTTCGGAGTGAACTTTGTATCCTCCAAAACATACTTGAGCAAAAATTGAAAATCAAAGCCCTGCCCATTGTGTGCAATGACACAAACATCTTTGAAATTTTTACGGACTTGCATCACATAGTCCATGAACTGAGTTACTGGTTCAGAATTAAACACTCGCGTACAATTTTTACAAGCCATACAAAATTTTGCCTCAATACACTGATAGCAAAACTGTTGTGAGACACACAAGTTCACTTGATGCAATTTTAAATCGGGATCTGAGGGCAGGGACTCGTCTTGGCGTGTTTCCAAGTCAAAGAAAATAAACAGAAAATCTTTTGATTTTGGCTTTTTCGTGTCAGGTTTCATATAGCATTTGTGGTTAGGGTCTTCAAATGAACGGCAAGGTTTACAATATACTTCACCGCACTTGTGAGGCTTGGGGCGATCTCTAATCCAAACCAATTTTCCACAATCGAGACATTTTTTTACATTTTTACATCTGTCAGCTTGATGCGCGATAAAACATTCCTGGTTTCGATAGGTCATGTTACATTTATTACATAAAATACCACCACTCTCCGCTACACAAGGGGGTGAGATGGTCTGGCACTGTGGGCAAATATTTGAGCAACGATGCTCTCTTTTATGATCGTAGGGTACATGACAAACTTCACAGAAATAATTGCAAACAAAAGCAGCAGTCAAACAATTAATTACATTGTAGTGTCCATTGTGAAACAACAAGTTAATTTTGAACTTGGGGTTCTCTACATTTCCTTCAAAGTACACATCACGTCCTTTCCTGTCATAGTTGTACACAACAATTTTGTAGTCCCTCAAAAACACCTGAAATTTTTCAAGTTCCGGGATCCCACCTCCACCCTCTGGCATTTCAACCCTAGCTCGACGAACAAGTTCCTGGGCCCTAACTGTTTGCCTATTTGCCTTATCTTGCCTCACAGCTTTATATTCAGGATCTTTAGTTAGATTAGCAACAGCCACTACAATTGCACGGGGCAAACACAATTTATCTTTATTGTTAATGACAACAATTCCCCGCCTTGACTTGCATTCCTCATCAAACGTATTGTAAAACCCAGGCCTTACTCTCCCAGAACCTACAGGAAGGTTAATTCTAGTGCATTCCACTTTAAAGGTGTCAGTAGATTTTATAGTTTCAGAGTTTGATTGCACAATACCACCAAAGATTTGCCACAAAACATTTTCATCAATTTCACTAGCAGGGCGAAAATTTACATAGCCTGGTGCTTTTGATTTCAAGTTAAGACTTTGTAGAGTAAACCCAAGTTCATCGTTTTCACATGCTTGCTCTTTCATACTATTTACAATTTGCGCAAACCCTTGTCTCAACCAATCAATCTCGTTAGTCTCTGGAGGCGGATTAGTGAATTTAAATACTGTTTTACTTCCATACAATCTAAATTTATTTACATAAGTTTGATCAGTACTAATCAAAGTAACAGGCTCAACTACTTTAACGGGTTCAACTACTTCATCGGATACATTATCAGCCATACTAACATCCATCGTAGTCAGATGCCTAGAGCAAAGTGAAAGGGACACAGATACACTAGTTCTAGTGGGGGCACAGTCTGCGCGCGCACACAGCTAAGTATAGCACACGGATTGCACAATACAACACAGGGACACAAGATGTGGTGGGGGCACAGCTGCGCGCACACAAAGCTTAATATAACACACCGATTGCACAACACGTTACACAAAAGAAACAATGTTCACTTACTATAAAACTGATCCACTACACAATAAATAATCAGACTAACATTAACACTAGAAATAACTTGCAAACATAACCTCAAAACGTCAAACACAAGAGCACACATCCAACACGTTCAATTGCCGAAAGCAAAGTGAAAGAAAATTAGTAATGGAAAGTATAAATAGCAAAAATTGACCAATCACACAACAGATCACCTATTTATGACCAATCAGGTACAAGCTTATTACAACCAATCAGCAACCAGGATACACGCCATTAACATTTCCTTGTTTTGTTCCAAGTCCAAGTTCATATGATTGTGGCGACTAGCGCCACGTCTGGGGGAAGTGCCTGCTCGCTGGGAGCATATACTTCCGGTCTGCTGTGGGTCCAAGCCCTGGTAGCTCAGCTACCTGTAGACGTCAACGTCGTTCTGGGAGTTAGTCGTCGATCCGGGGGCGAAGCTGGGGAACATCCTCAGCGACCAGGTCCCTGATGTGTTCCCACGGAGAGTCATCCGCCGTCTCTTCAAGTCTCGCTCGAAGGCCGTCTACGAAGTCTCGGAGAGTTGTCTCTGCCGTGGAGTCCCTGATGACGGAGTTCCTCACGTACCAGGGTGAATCTGTCGCCTGCCGAAGAGCCTTGCTCTGGACGACGAGCAGCCTCCGTCTAGCGGTTCTGCAGGTGAGGTGGTACCATGCAGGGGCTGCGTACGTGAGGACAGGCCGAAGCAGGGCCGTGTAGAGTCTGACTCTTGCAGCCGTCGACAACTTCCGTGACTTGAGCAGCGGGCGGATGGCGCCAAGACCTTTCCTGGCGAGGTCGCAGACCCTCTCGACGTGGGGAGTCAGGGTGAGTCGCTGATCCAGCAGGACGCCGAGGTACTTCACCCGGCGCTTCCATGGGATGTCGGCCCCGTCTAGGTGGAGGTGTTGACCATCGTCCTGCCTCCTCGACCTCGTGAAGGAGATGGCCTCACTCTTGTCAGCGTTGACTTTGACTCGCCACTTCGTCAGCCACGGCAGCAACAGGTCCAGCTGTCGCTGGACATACACCCTGGACATCCTCAGGTTGGCGGAGGTGGCAGTGAAGAGCGCATCATCTGCATAGAGCGAGAGCTGCACTCTCGGCGCCAGGGGTATGTCATTGGTGTACCACAGGTAGAGTATCGGCCCGAGAACCGACCCCTGTGGCACACCCGAAGAGACTGGCCGTGGTGTGGAGGTCGCCCGTCCAACGGAGACCCTGAAGCGGCGAGCGGTCAGGTAGCTCTTGACGAGCCTGTAGATCGAGCCGGGTAGAGGGGAGGACGCCAGCTTGTAGAGAAGTCCCTCGTGCCAGACCCGGTCGAAGGCTTTGCTCACGTCGATCAGGACTGAGGTCGAGTGGTGCTTCCGTTCCATCGCTCCAGCGATGGTGTTGAGGACCCGCCGCAGCTGGAGGGTGGTGGAGTGGCCCCGCCTGAAGCCGTACTGCTCAGTCCTGATCGAAGAGAAGAACTCCTCGGGGAATCTCGCCAGGATGATCCGCTCCAGCATCTTGGAGAGCACAGGCAGGAGGGAGATCGGCCTGTGGTTCTCGGGGAAGATGTGGTCCTTGCCGGGCTTGGGGATGAGTATGACATTCGCCAGCTTCCAGGTGTCGGGGAAGTGGGCCAGCCTCACGCAGGAGCTGAAGAGGCAGGTGATGACAACAATCACCCAAGCCGGCAGGTTCTTCAGTGCTGGAGTCCCGAGGGAGTCCGGTCCAGGGGCCTTCTTCGGACGTAGTCGAGCGATGTGGCCCTTCACCTCGCTGACGGTCACGTGGGGGATGTCCTCTTCGTCGGAGTCCGGCTCGTAGGTCTCTACGAAGTCGTCCACAACCTCGCAGAAGTCTTCGTCGTAGACGTCCGGGTGTGGGGAAAACTGGTCTTCCAGCGAGTCTGCGAAGGTCTCTGCACGGTCTTCGGGCGAGTAGACGAGCCCGCGTCCCCCATGCAGCGGCCTGTTGTGGGTCTTCGTGCCGCGCAGAGCCTTGGCGATCTTCCAGATCCCGTCGTTGGTGTCAGCCTGGCCCTCGACGAAGTCCTCCCACTCCTGGGACCGATGCTCAGCCAGCAGTCGGGAGCACCTCCTGGCCTGCCGGTTGAAGTCCGCCTTCGCTCGAGGGCAGCGGGACTGTTGGTACGCCCTCCTCAGGCGACGTCGCAGGGTGATCTCCTCCCGTAGCCCCTGGGGAAGTGGTGGGGGGGCTCTCGGGTCAACGTCAGAGCTGGCGGCAACCACAGTGTCCTGCAGCAGCGTTGACAGGTCCAGGACTTGCTGGTCGAGCTCCCCTGCCGTCTCAGGTGGCGGGGGAGGCGGTCGAGGGGCGTTGGCCAGGAGGTTGGCGAACTTCGCCCAGTTCACCCTCTTCCTGCGGACTGGAGGGCGGTCGGGGACTCCTCCCTGTGGCAGATCGATGATCACCGGAACGTTGTCGGAGGAGAGGTCGGAGACGACGAAGACTTCGACTGGGCCATCGAACGAGCCAGCCAGACCGATGTCCAGGATGTCAGGCGGGTGTCCAGCACGGGGGTAGTGTGTGGGGTCGGCCGGGGCAACCACGTTGATGTGAGGGTGGGCAGTGAGGTAGCGCCTGAGAGCGGCTCCAGTGAAGTTGCCTCTCCTGCAACCCCAGTCTAGGTGCTTCGCGTTGAGGTCGCCTGCCAGAAGCGCCGGGGTGCCGGGGGGCAGCAGCATGTCCAGGAGTCCGGGGTCGAGGCGTCTCGCTGGGGGGTTGTAGGCAGAGGAGACTTCCAGCTCTGCACCGTCATGCTGGAGGGCGATGGTCGTCACTTCGATGCCAGGCGGGAGGTTCCTGACGATCGGCCTGTGGGTGACCCGACGATGAACCAGTATCGCCGAGCCACCACTGGGACGTTGTTGCAGAGGCCTGTCTGTCCGGTGAGTGTAGTAGTTTCGGACGTTGAACCTGTCCCCACCGCGCAGATGCGTCTCTTGGATGAGGGCAACGTCAACGTCCATGTCAGTGAGGAGTTGTGTCAGCTCGTAGCGTCTGTCGGCAAGCCCGTCGGCGTTCCACGTGAGGATGCGAAGTCTACGCATGATGTTGGGTCAACTGGTCAACAAGTCGCTCGACGACGACCAACATGCTCCTCAGCGTGGAGATGAGTTGAGCCAGCTCAGACTGCTGCGACGGGCTCCTAGACGACTGGGCCGGGGTTGAGGCCGGCTCGATAGGCTGGGCAGGGCGGCTGGGCTGCGGGGCAGGGCTGCTGGGCTGCGGGGCTGGGCTGCTGGGCTGCGGGGCTGGGCTGCTGGGCTGCTGGGCAGGGCCGCTGGGCTGGCGAGGTGGGACTTCCAGGCGAGGGCGGGGAGTTCGCCTCACTCGAGGGTTCGGGGTCTCGGCCGGGGCGGCGGACTGCTCCACAGGAGGGGTGGGTGTTCGGGGTCTCGGGCCGGAAGCTCTGCCGCGGTTGTCCGGGTTCCGAGGAGCTCGACGACGTCTTCTGCGCTGAGTCCGGAAGCCCTCGTCATCGACCTCGGGAGCCCCAGGCGCCTCTTCGTCCACTGAGTCAGGTCTCGGAGCCGGTGGGTCGACCCGGCGCGGTTGACGGCCCGACGGTGCCGTGGACGATTTCGCCGCAGCCGCGTACGAAGTCCGTTGCAGATTCTTGTAGCAAGTGCAGCCCCTGTAGTTGGCAGTGTGGGCCTCACCACAGTTGCAGCACTTCGCCTGGGCTGCTGGCTCCTTGGGGCACTCGGTCGCTGGATGGGTGTCACCGCAGCGGACACAGCGGACCTGGCGGTGGCACTGGCCCGATCCGTGGCCGAAGCCCTGGCAACGGTGGCATTGAATGGGTCCGTTGGGCCGCTTGTACTGCCGTACTTCCACCTTGCAGTAAAAGGCTCGCCTTATTTCATAAACAGTGGACGGCAGGGAGTATCCTTCCGTCCTGCGGATCGTGAGGAGCCAGAGACCAGTCGGCATTCCTCGACGAGTCTTCATCATTTTCACTTCGGATATGTCGAAGTCGTGAAATTCCGCCATAATCTCATCTGGTGCTAGCGTCGGCGGCAGGCCCTTTACCACCACCTTGAGCAGCCGCTCGGTGCGTAGGGCGAAGGTGTGGAACGGTACTCGCTCTTGCTGCAGATACCGCTGGACGGCACGGAAGTGGGGCACAGTGTCCACCCTGATCCGCAGATTTTTCCCCGTGCATGAGGCGTCGAATTGGCCACCAACCAGTTGGCCGATGGCGACGGCGTGGGCAGGCCAGCTCCGCGGCATGTCCAGGAGGATAGGCGGAGGCCGAGGCTCGTTCCGCGTCGGGGCCGGATCATCCTCCATGTCGGAGTCAGCGGGTGTCTGGAAGGTGTCTCGGCCGGTTTTGCGGGCCTTCCGCTCGGCAGGAGGAGTCGGAGACGCTCGCCTCTTGTTGGTGGTCTGGTGGCCTTGAGAAACGCCGTTTTCTCCAGACGACGGGCAGGGGTTCGCCTGGCAACTGTTCCCCTCGCCGCCAGTGAAGACGAACGGGCCTCCGCCAGGGGTGGCAGTGGCGCTCCGTTGGTCGACACCCGCTCGGGTCACCGCAGCAGCGGTCTTCCCCCAGGCACTGATCTCCGTCCCCGTGAGGGGAAGTCCCGGGGGGGTGGAGTTGCTGGGCCGGGCGGCGACAGAGTTAGAAGGCCGGGCGGCGGCTAGGCCGGGGTGGGCTCCGCCGGGGGCTGGAAACATCTGGTGGCCTTGACTAAGGCCGTTTTCCTGGTCCGCGGGTGGTTGTGAAGCGAAGCTCCACACAGAAGCTGGGGGTCGGTCCGTATCCGAAGTCGAGTCCGTGGGCGATTGCAGGGTCGTAGTCGGGCCCGACGCGCGAGGCAGGGCTGCAGAGCCAGAAGGCAAAGCAGCGGGCGCATCGGGGTGGCCTTGTAAAAGGCCGTTTTGCGGCAGGTCGCAGCTCACAGTGAGAAACGTCACCGGAGGGGTCCCTGAAGTTCCGCCTGTATCCTCTTCTTCCATCACGAGTTAGAGATGTCCAATCTGTGCTGCGCTCCGAGGTGTTGCTCCTTCGAAGGTTGGCGATTGAATGTGTTTTGTTACAGAACCGTGATGATGAAGAAGAAGAAGAAGAAGAAAATTTGTAGAAATATAATGTTTGCAAACACTGTTTAGATTAATGTAAATAAAAGATATTAGCAATAGCCATTAAACAACACTTTACAAATGTCCACCATTTCTTCTTAGACATTATTAATTTTTAGATAGAGAAATGTAAATTTAAATCGTAGATATATAGTACTAAACCATAGTATTAAAACCATTATATACTAGGCAATGTGTTTAATTATCTAAAAAAAAAACATTCAATTTTTATTTTATTTTATATATATCTACATGCTGTAGTCCATTACAAAAGCAAATCAAATGATAATTCACGTATCCAATGTTAAAAACAGCTGAAAGAACGCTTAAGCGGAACTTTACCGTTGAGAATAAAAAACGGCCTTTGTAAAGGCCACCAAATTTTGAACGTTAAATCAACATTTCATAGACTTTATGTATTGTTAGGATGATTGTAATCTGAATAATGTTGATTCCTAGCAGTTGGCTGTGTATGAAGCTGTATATGCGCCAGAGGTTCATGGGTTCGATCCTTACCAATCACAATTACAATATTTGTTGCGTCTTATTTACAAATACCTATAATATACTGCAGTCCATAACAATGACAATACAAATGATAATTCACGTATCAAATGTTAAAAACAACTGAAAGAAGGCTTGAACGGAACTTTACCATTGAGCATAAAAATGGCCTTTGTAAAGGCCACCAAAATGTTGGATGTTAAATTTACATTTCATAGATGTCATGTTTTATTTTATTTTTTTTTTGGGGTGATGGGTAATCTGAATAATATTTCTTTCTAGTAGCTGACTGTGTATGAGACAGTGCATGAGCCAGAGGTTCACGGGTTCGATCCTTACCAATCACAATTACAATCTTTGCTTCCAAAGTCCAATGAGTCTTATTTACATACACCTATAATATACTGCAGTCCATTACAATGACAAAACAAATGACAATTCACGTATCCAATGTTAAAAACAACTGAAAGAAGGCTTAAACGGAACTTTATTATTGAGCATAAAAAACCGCCTTTGTAAAGGCCACCAAAATGTTGAATGTTAAATTTACATTTCATAGATGTCATGTTTAATTTTTTTTTTTATTTTTGGGGTGATGGGTAATCTGAATAATGTTTCTTTCTAGTAGCTGACTGTTCATTCGATCGCCAACCTTCGTAGGAGCAACACCTCGGAGAGCAGCACTAGTTTTAACTTCTAGACTACATGATGGAAGAAGAAGATACAGGCGGAACTTCTGGGACCCCTCCGGACTTACAACCCGTGAGCTGCGACCAGCCGCAAAACGGCCTTTTACAAGGCCACCCCGATGCGCCCGCTGCTTTGCCTTCTGGCTCTGCAGCCCTGCCTCGCGCGTCGGGCCCGACTACGACCCTGCAATCGCCCACGGACGGCGATTGGAGTAGCTGACTGTGTATGAGACTGTGTATGAGCCAGAGGTTCACGGGTTCGATCCTTACCAATCACAATTACAATATTTGTTGCGTCTTATTTACAAATACCTATAATATACAGCAGTCTATAACAATGACAAAACAAATGATAATTCACGTATCCAATGTTAAAAACAACTGAAAGAAGGCTTAAATGGAACTTTACCATTGAGCATAAAAACGGCCTTTGTAAAGGCCACCAAAATGTTGGATGTTAAATTTACATTTCATAGATGCCATGTATTTTTGGGGTGATGGGTAATCTGAATAATGTTTCTTTCTAGTAGCTGACTGTGTATGAGACTATGTATGAGCCAGAGGTCCACGGGTTCGATCCTTACCAATCACCAAACGTTTTATTTCTGGTCGGGGTGAAATGTTGATTTTTGTTATGGTGATGTATCATAGCGGGAGTAGTGTTAGTCGTTGATCCAAGAGGTTCACAGGTTCAATCCTTACCAATCACATTTACAATATTTGCATTGGGAGATGAGGTTACGTTATTTGGCGGGAAAATAAAAGTGAGGTTAGAACACGTGTGAGGATAGACCACGTGGGACACCAGGGGGCATGGCTTAAGGGAAATACTGCTCTCTGATTGGCTGGGGGAATGCTGATCTCTGATTGGCTAGGGGGCGTGGCCTAGGTGGAATGCTGCTCTCTGATTGGCTAGAGGGCGTGGCCTACGGAGGGGTGGGGATGAAATGCTGCTCTCTGATTGGCGGGCCCAAGCGCTGGGTAGCCTACTGACGACAGTTGGTGAGTTGGTTCTATGTTCTCTGTTCTGTAATCACAGGGTTTTTTGTTAGTTGATGTTATAATGAATCCAATCTATAAGCTATATCCAAGCTATATATTTAAGACACAATTTTATTATTTGTATTGATTACCAAACACGGTGAACAAAATCGCGACTCAATGAACATATCCATACAACTTTACTACAAACGCATTTCTCGTTCATAGTTCACAGACACAGTTCAATGAAGTACCATGAGGCGTCGAGAGGCCAAGGGAGATATGTGACTTTTTAAAAAATGTTTTCATGGTAACGGGTTTTGTTAAAAAAGGGTGGAATTTCAACAAATAATTCACTTATGTCCCTTGGCCTCCAAACTAAACACCTAAGAGTTGGAAGCCAAGGGGTATAAGTGAATTTATTTTTATTTTTATTTTATTTTTTATGACTATGAAAAAAATACAATGACATTTTTTAAAAAGTAACATATCTCCCTTGGCCTCTCGACGCCTCCATTAGAGTACACACCCGTGGTTTGCATTACATGTATTTTGTAGATTTATTTGTATGTTTTTTTAATACGTTTGAAAAGCATAGAGTTGGAACTTTATAATCAAACGTATGTTTTTGTGATTAGAAGTTTGCAGTAAACAGGTATTGCACCCTTTTGGGCCATTACGGTTGCGTAGAACTGTATTGGAAGTTTTCATTAAACGAACGCATTGCGGTAGAAATTATATTATGTTTTTGTTAGATATATACTATCTGAAAGTAGATTTTGTGATAAATATGCATTTATAACAAATCTGTTTATTGGTAGTATTTTTTGTTAACGCTCTTAGAAGAATTTTTTTGTATTGTATTATTTCTAAATATATTGATGTAAATCTCAACATTTTTAATCATGGATGCGAACGTTTCGTTCGTTTGGACTTTTTAGTATCTGATTATTCAGCGATTATGTATAGTGAATCAAATAACACGTATTGTAAAGACTGCTATAACTAAAATAAAAATAATCTATTCAAATCCTAGGTAGTGAAGTTTAAAACCCCTAATTTAAACCTCAAAACCACTAAAAACTTTTAAACAAGTTCAACCTTACAAGTAAATAATTTTAATTTAGAATTTGACATTTATGAAACAAGTTTTTTTTTAGTTTTACAGTGTGTAGCACATATCAATGTTATTATGTCACGATCAGAAGTTCAGGTACATTCAGTTTTGATTGTATGATTAATATATGATAAAAAACATATGTAATATTCAGACTTCTCTATTTTCAGCCCACGCTGTAACTACAATATACTGTACATTGGAATTTCTCCAATTTGTTTTGACTTTCTGTAGTTCGACTTTCTGTGTGGTTTTGAAATTTTGATAGTTCGCTGTTATTTCACCACCAGCATGGAAACCCATACGGCCCATGTTATTTTTTTAATTTTTAAACTGATTTTGTGTGCATATTTTGAGCCTATTTTTAGATAGGGATTCCGCACAACTGCAGGAAAATATCTTCCTAACAGTATGCGTAGATTTTCCCTGCGAAGCACACGAGCTAAGAAAAAATGTTTTAAAGAAACATGCTTTGCTATTAGAAGTAATAGATTTCACAAATACGTTATCATTAACATTTAGTTAGTAAAAAAATGCTAGCTCAAATATAAGAGGTAGACTTGGATACGTATCGCCGCCACACACATTCGATCGCCAACCTTCGAAGGAGCAACACCTCGGAGCGCAGCACAGATTGGACATCTCTAACTCGTGATGGAAGAAGACGAAGGCGGAACTTCAGGGACCCCTCCGGTGACGTTTCTCACTGTGAGCTGCGACCTGCCGCAAAACGGCCTTTTACAAGGCCACCCCGATGCGCCCGCTGCCTTGCCTTCTGGCTCTGCAGCCCTGCCTCGCGCGTCGGGCCCGACTACGACCCTGCAATCGCCCACGGACTCGACTTCGGACACGGACCGACCCCCAGCTTCTGTGTGGAGCTTCGATTCACAACCACCCGCGGACCAGAAAAACGGCCTTAGTAAAGGCCACCAGATGTCTCAAGCCCCCGGCGGAGCTCAACCCGGCCTAGCCGCCGCCCGGCCCTCTGACTCTGTCGCCGCCCGGCCCAGCAACTCCACCCCCCCGGGACTTCCCCTCACGGGGACGGAGATCAGTGCCTGGGGGAAGACCGCTGCTGCGGTGACCCGAGCGGGTGTCGACCAACGGTGCGCCACTGCCACCCCTGGCGGAGGCCCGTTCGTCTTCACTGGCGGCGAGGGGAACAGTTGCCAGGCGAACCCCTGCCCGTCGTCTGGAGAAAACGGCGTTTCTCAAGGCCACCAGACCACCAACAAGAGGCGAGCGTCTCCGACTCCTCCTGCCGAGCGGAAGACCCGTAAAACCGGCCGAGACACCTTCCAGACACCCGCTGACTCCGACATGGAGGATGATCCGGCCCCGACGCGGAACGAGCCACGGCCTCCGCCTATCCTCCTGGACATACCGCGAAGCTGGCCTGCCCACGCCGTAGCCATCGGCCAACTGGTTGGTGGCCAATTCGATGCCTCATGCACGGGGAAAAATCTGCGGATCAGGGTGGACACTGTGCCCCACTTCCGTGCCGTCCAGCGGTATCTGCAGCAAGAGCGAGTACCGTTCCACACCTTCGCCCTACGCACCGAGCGGCTGCTCAAGGTGGTGGTAAAGGGCCTGCCGCCGACGCTAGCACCAGATGAGATTATGGCGGAATTTCACGACTTCGACATATCCGAAGTGAAAATGATGAAGACTCGCCGGGGAATGCCGACTGGTCTCTGGCTCCTCACGATCCGCAGGACGGAAGGATACTCTCTGCCGTCCACTGTTTATGAAATAAGGCGAGCCTTTTACTGCAAGGTGGAAGTACGGCAGTACAAGCGGCCCAACGGACCCATTCAATGCCACCGTTGCCAGGGCTTCGGCCACGGATCGGGCCAGTGCCACCGCCAGGTCCGCTGTGTCCGCTGCGGTAACACCCATCCAGCGACCGAGTGCCCCAAGGAGCCAGCAGCCCAGGCGAAGTGCTGCAACTGTGGTGAGGCCCACACTGCCAACTACAGGGGCTGCACTTGCTACAAGAATCTGCAACGGGCTTCGTACGCGGCTGCGGCGAAATCGTCCACGGCACCGTCGGGCCGTCAACCGCGCCGGGTCGACCCACCGGCTCCGAGACCTGACCCAGTGGACGAAGAGGCGCCTGGGGCTCCCGAGGTCGATGACGAGGGCTTCCGGACTCAGCGCAGAAGACGTCGTCGAGCTCCTCGGAACCCGGACAACCGCGGCAGGGCTTCCGGCCCGAGACCCCGAACACCCACCCCTCCTGTGGAGCAGTCCGCCGCCCCGGCCGAGACCCCGAACCCTCGAGTGAGGCGAACTCCCCGCCCTCGCCTGGAAGTCCCACCTCGCCAGCCCAGCGGCCCTGCCCGGCAGCCCAGCAGCCCAGCCCCGCAGCCCAGCAGCCCAGCCCCGCAGCCCAGCAGCCCTGCCCCGCAGCCCAGCCGCCCTGCCCAGCCTATCGAGCCGGCCTCAACCCCGGCCCAGTCGTCTAGGAGCCCGTCGCAGCAGTCTGAGCTGGCTCAACTCATCTCCACGCTGAGGAGCATGTTGGTCGTCGTCGAGCGACTTGTTGACCAGTTGACCCAACATCATGCGTAGACTTCGCATCCTCACGTGGAACGCCGACGGGCTTGCCGACAGACGCTACGAGCTGACACAACTCCTCACTGACATGGACGTTGACGTTGCCCTCATCCAAGAGACGCATCTGCGCGGTGGGGACAGGTTCAACGTCCGAAACTACTACACTCACCGGACAGACAGGCCTCTGCAACAACGTCCCAGTGGTGGCTCGGCGATACTGGTTCATCGTCGGGTCACCCACAGGCCGATCGTCAGGAACCTCCCGCCTGGCATCGAAGTGACGACCATCGCCCTCCAGCATGACGGTGCAGAGCTGGAAGTCTCCTCTGCCTACAACCCCCCAGCGAGACGCCTCGACCCCGGACTCCTGGACGCGCTGCTGCCCCCCGGCACCCCGGCGCTTCTGGCAGGCGACCTCAACGCGAAGCACCTAGACTGGGGTTGCAGGAGAGGCAACTTCACTGGAGCCGCTCTCAGGCGCTACCTCACTGCCCACCCTCACATCAACGTGGTTGCCCCGGCCGACCCCACACACTACCCCCGTGCTGGACACCCGCCTGACATCCTGGACATCGGTCTGGCTGGCTCGTTCGATGGCCCAGTCGAAGTCTTCGTCGTCTCCGACCTCTCCTCCGACCACGTCCCGGTGATCATCGATCTGCCACAGGGAGGAGTCCCCGACCGCCCTCCAGTCCGCAGGAAGAGGGTGAACTGGGCGAAGTTCGCCAACCTCCTGGCCAACGCCCCTCGACCGCCTCCCCCGCCACCTGGGACGGCAGAGGAGCTCGACCAGCAAGTCCTGGACCTGTCAACGCTGCTGCAGGACACTGTGGTTGCCGCCAGCTCTGACGTTGACCCGAGGGCCCCCCCACCACTTCCCCAGGGGCTGCGGGGGGAGATCACCCTGCGACGTCGCCTGAGGAGGGCGTACCAACAGTCCCGCTGCCCTCGAGCGAAGGCGGACTTCAACCGGCAGGCCAGGAGGTGCTCCCGACTGCTGGCTGAGCATCGGTCCCAGGAGTGGGAGGACTTCGTCGAGGGCCAGGCTGACACCAACGACGGGATCTGGAAGATCGCCAAGGCTCTGCGTGGCACGAAGACCCACAACAGGCCGCTGCATGGGGGACGCGGGCTCGTCTACTCGCCCGAAGACCGTGCAGAGACCTTCGCAGACTCGCTGGAAGACCATTTTTCCCCACACCCGGACGTCTACGACGAAGACTTCTGCGAGGTTGTGGACGACTTCGTAGAGACCTACGAGCCGGACTCCGACGAAGAGGACATCCCCCACGTGACCGTCAGCGAGGTGAAGGGCCACATCGCTCGACTCCGTCCGAAGAAGGCCCCTGGACCGGACTCCCTCGGGACTCCAGCACTGAAGAACCTGCCGGCTTGGGTGATTGTTGTCATCACCTGCCTCTTCAACTCCTGCGTGAGGCTGGCCCACTTCCCCGGCACCTGGAAGCTGGCGAATGTCATACTCATCCCCAAGCCCGGCAAGGACCACATCTTCCCCGAGAACCACAGGCCGATCTCCCTCCTGCCTGTGCTCTCCAAGATGCTGGAGCGGATCATCCTGGCGAGGTTCCCCGAGGAGTTCTTCTCTTCGATCAGGACTGAGCAGTACGGCTTCAGGCGGGGCCACTCCACCACCCTCCAGCTGCGGCGGGTCCTCAACACCATCGCTGGAGCGATGGAACGGAAGCACCACTCGACCTCAGTCCTGATCGACGTGAGCAAAGCCTTCGACCGGGTCTGGCACGAGGGACTTCTCTACAAGCTGGCGTCCTCCCCTCTTCCCGGCTCGATCTACAGGCTCGTCAAGAGCTACCTGACCGCTCTCCGCTTCAGGGTCTCCGTTGGACGGGCGACCTCCACACCACGGCCAGTCTCTTCGGGTGTGCCTCAGGGGTCGGTTCTCGGGCCGATACTCTACCTGTGGTACACCAATGACATACCCCTGGCGCCGAGAGTGCAGCTCTCGCTCTATGCAGATGATGCGCTCTTCACTGCCACCTCCGCCAACCTGAGGATGTCCAGGGTGTATGTCCAGCGGCAGCTGGACCTGTTGCTGCCGTGGCTGACGAAGTGGCGAGTCAAAGTCAACGCTGACAAGAGTGAGGCCATCTCCTTCACGAGGTCGAGGAGGCAGGACGATGGTCAACACCTCCACCTAGACGGGGCCGACATCCCATGGAAGCGCCGGGTGAAGTACCTCGGTGTCCTGCTGGATCAGCGACTCACCCTGACTCCCCACGTCGAGAGGGTCTGCGACCTCGCCAGGAAAGGTCTTGGCGCCATCCGCCCGCTGCTCAAGTCACGGAAGTTGTCGACGGCTGCAAGAGTCCGACTCTACACGGCCCTGCTTCGGCCTGTCCTCACGTACGCAGCCCCTGCATGGTACCACCTCACCTGCAGAACCGCTAGACGGAGGCTGCTCGTCGTCCAGAGCAAGGCTCTTCGGCAGGCGACAGATTCACCCTGGTACGTGAGGAACTCCGTCATCAGGGACTCCACAGCAGTGACAACTCTCCGAGACTTCGTAGACGGCCTTCGAGCGAGACTTGAAGAGACGGCGGATGTTTCTCCGTGGGAACATATCAGGGACCTGGTCGCTGAGGATGTTCCGCAGCTCCGCCCCCAGATCGACGAATAACCCCCAGGAACGACGTTGACGTCTACAGGTAGCTGAGCTACCAGGGCTTGGACCCACAGCAGACCGGAAGTATATGCTCCCAGCGAGCAGGCACTTCCCCCAGACGTGGCGCTAGTCGCCACAATCATATGAACTTGGACTTGGACTTGGATTAAAAACTACCATCCTTTCAAGCAAGGGCAACTGTTATTTTTTAGAATTCCAATAATTAAAGCCATAAGGTAATAAAACTATCAAAGTTCCGACTAAAAACAGAATTCTTACATGTCTTTAAGTAAAAGTGGTATCACCTTGCATGCTTACTAAAGCAGTTATAGATTTAAATGACAATTTATGTAGTCTTAAAACCTTCAGAGAAACATTATAAACATAAAATGTCAATCGGCTTGTGAACATGTTTGAATGGTGTAACTACATTTTCACGAGAGTGGTTTAGTTCACCGTGTGTTTATAAGTTCTAAAATTTAAATAACA